CCCTCCACCAATCCTATCCTACGTATATATATATATATATATATATATATGTTCGGCTTCCCGTCCGACTTCTTTTCACCAGAACTTATCGAGAGGAATCGGGACCTGGTTCTCGGAAGCGGGCACCAGGTATGATAAATAAAACGGGGGACCGGGACAAATTGTATCGGGCAATAAAGCAAAGAGGAGGCCTTGCGGACGAGATCCGCAACGACGAAGCCGCCCCGTGCGGACACGAGATTACCGCGGGAAATAACGAGGCGACTTAATTCAATTACCCGCGCCGACGAGATAAGGATAAGAGGGAGACCGAGGTGGACGAGGCCCCGGTAATCCCGCTACCTTCGTTTCGAATTAAGTTGATGGTTTTCTCGGTACAGCGGTTTGTAATTTATTGGTAGTTTATGACCGGTGTTCTCCCGTGCGAGGTGTTTTTGTTAAGTGATTTTTGCAGGTTGTGTAGTGTGTCGGTTAGGTTAGGCGAATGTGTAAGAAGCGTAAGTGCTTGTCCACAGCTTCGCTTATCGTGGATCTTTATAAATTTTACTCTTCTTCGTATCGCGAACGTTATTAAGAATCATTTTGTCGACCGATAATTGTCGTTTTGTCGCGTATTCTTTCGTGAAATACGGTATTCGTAAAATATAGAATTCTTCTGTCGCGTTGCGTTAGTTTTTACGTCGTATTTTAATTATTCGATAAATAAATCGAACAATGAATATATTCTTTCTTGTTTCTTACATAAATATTACTACATTTTCGCATTATTTCTAAATTATACGTATTATTAGTAACTAAGAGATAATATTTTCTCGCAATGTCGAATTTCCTAACCTATAACCTATAACGAATATGTGATTCGTGTGTACCTACCTACGTGCGAACGAAGCTATCAGTTACTTCTATATTTCGTCAAATTGGATTGGAAGAAAATCACTGGCGATAGATTGAACAAAGAACAAAGCGAAATCACAAACTGAATCTTTTATTTTATTATAAAATTCACGAATCACTTTTCGAAGAAGACTAATGCGACGCGTTCGCATGCGAGGTTCGTGAATTTCTCTAAGCGCATGCGCGCTAACGGGCCAATCACCGAACTCATCGTACTTCAGGTAATTGTAGGAGACGCGCGAATTTCGAACGAATAGAGAAACACGGCGTAACTTTACCTGGTCGACGTGTAATGGGAGCGCGATCTTCCCACGCGACCAGATGTGTTTCTGCGTGGCGTGTTGCACGGCGATCAACACAAACAACGATTCATGTACACCGTGACGCGAGCCTCCGTGTTCGTTCCCTCTGTTCTTTCCATAGTTCTACTCGGCTGTCTCTCTCCTTTCCCTGTATCGTCGATTGCCTACCGACTAACTGTCCTCGTTGTCCTCCTCTCGCGTTGCTTTTTGTTCCTTCTGTCGGAGCGCATCGTGAAACGAATGGCAAGTTCATAGGTGAGATTTTGTTACCTCTACGGTTAATCTGAAGGTATGATCGCGATAAGAGACTATTGTTTGAAATTAAATTAAATTAAATTAAATGAATTGTGATTAAATAACCATATTGTTGCGTTTGCAAGGTTCGTTTTTTCGTAATTTTTTCTTGAAACTCGTTCTAAGGAATAATTCTAAAGAAAATTTCCCTCGATAAAATCAATATAAATATCCATAATATTATAATATCGCGCAGAATAGAAATACGATATGAAATCTCCAGACACTGAAATATTAGAGAAACCCGATATTATCGTATACTTGATATCTCGACGATCCAAAGATCGATATCCATCAGACGTATTATATACTTTCCACCATATTTCCATCCAATGTCCCCAACCCAACCAGAAACGAAGATGGACATCCCAATAAGAATTCTCAATAAAAATCAATGGAAAAAGCCCATCCCATCTTTCCCCATTCATCGTATCCAGTTCCTTGCTTCTGCACAAACCCTCTTAGATCCCCTCTTAGATGTGTCCGTGAAACGGGGCGCGCTTTCCTGTCCGGGATCCAAGGCGATTGAAACACCATCGGGCTCGCCTATTAATCAGCATCGCATACTTTTTCCTCCTCCCTCCTCCCCGTCGAAAGGTCCGCCAGGTACAAATGCCAGCTGGTACGTATAACTGTCGATACAAAGAGGTACAAAGGATCGGCGGCGCGCGATACCGCGCGTAAGAATAAAGATCAAAGCGAAACGGTCGCGCATCTGCATTCCGCGGGGATATAAGGTCGGCTCTCCGCTCGACGCGGGAGACAGGACGAACGCAGGTGTCTCTAATTGGTTATTTATAAGCGATCCTTAACCCGCCGCTGATTTACTGCGTTTTAGAGGCGAGTGCGCACGCGATAGGTTTTGCGCGAGCCAATTACAATCGGCCGGTGCCGCGTAATCTTAGTCATCGGTCAGCTGTACCTGGGGGCCGACCTGATCGATCGATCGATGGATCGAGAGAGGTGATCGAGAACGAGCAGCGCGGCGGAGAAACGCGGCGTCCTCGCCGGCAAGGTCGCGGCGACGATTTTGAAACACGCCTCGGACCCTGGCTGCTCTGCTCCTTTTTTAAACCCTCCTCGTCTCTTTCGATCGCGACCGCCTCTCGTCGGTTGCCAATACTCTGGTTTAGGGAGACGGGTAGCTCTCTCGGGATCCAAAATTGGAGTTTCTAGGTTTAGATATTTTGCGTGACGGGTAATTTGATTTAATTGATTAAATCTCGAGTACTGCCGATTAAAGAGGGAACGCTTGTGTTGCTGTTTATTCTAATTTCTTCTCGGGGAAATAGATATTCGACGAATACACTGGAGAGTTGTGTTGTCTATTCTGAAAGAAAAAGTCAATGTTATTTAATAATTGTAAAATCAAAAATCTAAATATCTATTGAAATTCAAAAGAAGTAATGGTAAAAATTTGTGGGATGAAAAGAAATTATTGCACGTATAATTCATTGTACATACTATACAAAGTTTTAACAAAAATAGATAAAATTTCTTGTATGATTGGCCGTATAAGTATCATCTTGTCTTCGATATCTTGACAGTAATTTCATAGCTTGGATCTATCTTCGGGACCATCTGAAATCAAATCAACACAAAACATCATCGACTTTCGAGCGATCGTGGTATCGTAGACAGCACATGTACAAGTCCAAGAAAAATATTCATAAATCAAGCTCACGACGCCTTCCGTGTCACCGTTCACCGCGTTGGTCAAACGAGACGCGGAAGATCGATGATCGAGAAGGCCCCTAGAAGAAGCATCCTAGAAAGTCCACGACATCCTGACCGAGAATCGTTACCGTGCTTTATGTTCGATTTCGTCGCTTGTTCGTCGTGGCCGAGCAAGAAATCGACCGATTTAATGGAAACGCATTCCCACGCACCCAACCTCTCCTGCGTGCCTCTTCACCCTGCCTTTTCTCTTTTCGATGCGTTCGCAGTACAATGTGGAATTTTTTTGTCGACGATGCACGATATCCGCGATTTATTCTAAGATAATTATCGTACGTCTGAGAAAACGTATTTTTCTCAGCGAATTGCGCACATGTTTTCAAATACCCGACGCTTATTCAAATCGTTGGTAAATATATGTATAACGATACCTGTGTTTCTAATGTAAATAATCTGTAAACGGCGATAGGTGCGTGCTTGAACGAGTCTTTTATTCGATCGTAAAAATCTTATCAATCGATGCTTTTGACGAGATGATTATCCTAGAGAAAAAAATAAATAACATCTCGAATAACAGAACGTAAATAATATATTGCGTGGACTGACGTAATGGTTAGGATGATCCATGTTAGCCTGAATCCTTGGCTTGAATCGTTGGCTGGAAACTCAATTGCGTTCTCACGATTGTCTCCTCTACGTTTGGCAGTCGAAACGAGGCCTAACAACTGCGTTTCACCGGCTGTAAACGATAATCATCGCATTTCGTCTTGGCCAGGAGGAAATCGTAAATCGTTCAGGCTCGAATTTTGAGATCATTATTCTTTTGTTCGATCCCTCGAATTCTACGTTCGATAATATAGATTTTAATGGATAACGTGGAATTCGCGATAAAATAACGGAGATATAAATCAATTAGGATGATTCACGAGGAATATTCACGCGATGGATTCTTGAAATGTCTTTGAAACATCGTTCGCGAGAAGAATCGTCAAGTCCACCTCGAAGTCGGCGATTTCTCGGACAGTAATCGAGATAGTTGGCAGCGGTAAACGACGCAGAACTACGTCGTGGATAACGAACGAGCGTGGCTACCTATTACAACTTGCAGACAGACCTATGACTTTCAACAGTCGAATCGCACTAATGTCGATGGTATGAGTTATGTGTCGATAAATAGTACAATATGTCAATGATGTCAATTAAAGTCAAATTATACTTGTCACGACTTTATTTTAGATATTTATATTGGAAATTGATTCACTAATTCATCTAATAAAGGGAAAAATATTATAATTTAAAGCGAAGTTTACGGCAATATGTATACATGTATAGAAAACTAAGAAAAATATACAATAAATATAGTTAGGTTATGTTAGGAGAAAGATCGAATATATATAAATACATAATTCTATAACTTTTCTAATTGAATCATCTCAATTCTACTAACTAATAACTAATAACTAATAACAATCCGTTAAATATTTTCCAAGTCACGTTGAATTCTATCAAAAAATTCCTTGATCGCGTTGATTTTTCCATCATTTCGACGATACAAATATACGACGCATATTCGGACCTTTGCATAACCTAACCTATTCTAAACTCGTACAGTACGCTATCGAAATATAAATATTCATAATTTTCGTATTATGAACCTAAATTCCTAAATCGAATATGTATTTCGTTCATGTGCATTCATCGAGTATTAGAAAATATAAATAATACCTCAAAATGAAGTGCAATCATCTTCATGTCAAGTTTCCATTGGAAAATCTCGAACAGCGAGGGATCGTGGACGGAAACAGGATGCTGCGTAGTATCCACGTAGCTCGAAATAAATTGTGACCAACTTTAAAGGGGCAAGCTTGTGGCTTCGAATGTCCCTTTCGAATTGCTCGGTCCAAGGATCTGTTGCACGTTTTCCAAAG